GATCTCATCTCTCCTTTTAACGGAATCTTGGCCCAATTTCATATCTTCCTTAACGGATTCCTGGCCCAATTTCATTTCTTCCTTAACGGATTCCTGGCCCAATTTCATTTCTTCCTTAACGGAGTTGACGGTCCCTTCCATCTTTTCTTGGAAAGCAGCAAATGCAGTCATCATGAATTGCCTTGAATTGTTCTTCCATCGCTCTTGTTATTGGCATTCAAATCCCACTTCTGACACCAAAAATTGTTGCGTGCGTACGGGTTCGTTATGAAAATGAATGCACAAGTCCGATGAAAAATGAACAAAAATTTATTATTATCACAACAAAAATGCTGCTTAAATTTCTCAAATTATCATGCAGTATTACAATATCTCACAGTAGTTTATCTTTTAACTACTCAAATGTCCAAATAGAACGTAATTCAAAACAGCTAAGGAACGCTAATCCGCGAATTCGCTACAATCAACAACAGTAGTTTTCTAAACTTAAAACAACAAAAACTAAGCAACTACTACAAACTGAGATGTTTTCCTCCTTTTATAAGATTTTAAAATCACGCGCTAGAATTTTCCAGTACTTTCTCGAAATCAAAAAGAGATATTTATTTATTTAACGCACGCGCTCTTGTATTTTTAATTTTCCGGCTTAGCTTTCTTTTAATATTCGTCACGCGCTGCACTGCGCGAGAAATAAAACCATTTAATTTATAATTGAACTAACATTAGCTTTTTAAATACCAAATTCGTAACAACATGTTAAAAAATTGCTTTCGAAGGAAACAAAAATAAGATAGTCCGCAGAATAAAATAATTTATTATTAAATAATTAATTATTCTAAGTCCCCGCTTAGAAAATGTTGAAGAAACGCTGGCTACAATAATACTCATCAAACCATCAATCGCAATCTATTGCTAGATCTCATCAGCATTTTCGATAGCAAATATGAGAACTTTTCTTTTAAAACAACAAATCAATAAAGTTAAAGCATGGTTACTTAATAAGACCGTAAAAATGCTGCAGTTTTATTTTAAAAACTTTCCAGGCTTCCAAATAATAAGTAATGGAGGAATACAATTTTAACAACAAATAGAAATTTAAAGACACAAGTGTGTTTCAATCAAGTTGGTTATCAATTATCAGAAGACCTAGACCTTGTTCTACAAGTGAATGTAATGACTGTACCTTTGTGTCCTCTGAACACTGTGACTTCTGAGTATGTCTTGAACATGATGAGAAAATTGATAAGCGTGAGATGCCCATTGCCCAGAGCAGAGTCATTGCTTTTGAAACTATTGAGAGAAGCTATCCCATTAACCTCTGGACCCATGTTTACACTGACGGATTCATGATTGTGCGAGGTATTAGAGCTGGTGCAGGAATGTATTGTAACCATTTTGCATTCCATAAGGCAGTGGGAAGAGGTACCACCAATTTTGATGGTGAAGTTGAGGCTATATTTTATTGCTCTGAATCAACTAAGCGCTCGGAAGAGTAATTTCCCTCGGGCTGCTACTTTTTCCAGTAGCAAAGCCGCTTTGCAAGCTCCAACAATACATTTTTCACTTCCAAACGAATTTATGAATGTAGGAAGATTCTGAATACTCTGGCTGACTCAACTGTCTTGCAGTGAATTCCTGTTCATTGTGGCATCCAGGAAAATGAAAGAGACTATTTTCTGGCAAAGAAAGAAACAACTATTCTACAAACCACTAATAACCATGTGACTTTTAATTTAGCAAAACTCCTAATTAAAATAGAATTGAAGAGGAGATTTGCCTCCTACCTATCAAATGAAGCTAAGGGAAAGGCCTGGAGTGTCTCACTAGTTCAAAGCCAATTATTCCAGATTTTCCTCGTGCCATCGAATTTTGAATAATGTACGTCTCCTCCCGAATATGGGCATCTGGAAACCCAAATTTGGAATTTATTTTATAATCTCTTTCATATTTTGTAAAGCATTTATGAGTCTTTGATTAAGAAACTCAATGATTTCAGAGAGAGCAATGGCAAAACTGTGCGGGGGAGGATCTCCAGCGCGCGAGACTGTGTATTCGAAATTCTAAAGAAATGCTCTTTTAAATATTTTGTGATATTGCTGTTGAATTTAATGTTATGGTTTAAGTGCGACGAAAATAATATTTAATAAATAACTGTAACTCACGAAACGTTAAAAAAAAGGCCCTTATGGAGCATAATGTAAAATCTGAAAGCTTTCAGACTTTCTTTTTTTACATTACGAATTTTTTTAAATGCTGTAATCCTAATATCAATAAAATAAAACTGCTTGAGGCAGATCCAAAGTTCATCAAATTAATTAAAAAGTAAAAGTAATTGATATGTTTATTGAATCTGGCGATCGCTGCCCCACGGCTTGCCTAATTATGCCCCACCCCCACACACAGCTTACGTAATTGTAACGACTTTATACCTTTCTTGATTTTCAATCTTTTCTTAACCTTTACTCTAAAGAAGGTTTCGGTACTTTAAAGTTCATGTTGAAGGCGGCGGCCTAAGAATACGCTCTGTATATAGTGAATTAAAATATTGTTAAAAATGTAAAAGTGTTAAAATTAGTAAACTCACTGAACCACCCTCATCTGATTTGGAAATGCACATATTATTTCATATATCTTTTACTTTTATCACTACATTTTGATTGATTATTTTTTGTTTCTTAGCAAGGATAAAACCATTTCAGATGGATCCGATTTTCCAATTTCTTCGATTACGGATAGAAACAAAACGTGACTCTTGTAATTTAAAAGAAACGTATAAACATTTATATAAGGAAATAAATAAAAATATATTATTTTATTCATTCTTATATCAGTATACTTTTAAGATCTTGTTCTTTTAATTTCATTTTAAAAGAGAAAGTAAAAAATGAAACACTAGAAATATTTTAACTGCATTTAATTCGCTTGCTTAAACAGAGGCTCAATAGATGGCGCTACGTCTCAAAAATAGATCCAGTGTGAAAATCCCATTCAGCGGCAGATTTGGAAAAGGGACAATTTAAATCTCAATGACGATGAGGGATTTAATGTTTATCTCCGTAACCGCTTCGGTCCTGAAATCCCAGAGGTGTCGCCGGGTTTAAAGTCGTCTGCAATAACTCATTTCGTCATTTGTCGGGATGATAACTTTGAGAATATTAAGATTGAATTCCTGTTTCGAAAAGCGAAAAGCCGAGATTAATTCAAACGTTCACATACTCTCCATCGTTCCATCTTCTGCTATAGCCAATTAAAATTGCGCATTCAAAATGTCCTACGCGATTATGCCGTGAATGATTAGCTTCATCGGAAACTTTAATGGTTCGAGGATAAAACGCATTTAGCCAGGGTTAAGAATTCAGGGAAATATCTCATTTGCAAACTGGTTTATTTCTGGTTTTAACTCAGTGAACAATTCTCTGTAGCAGTACTTCAGTAAATTACCAGGTTAAACATTTTGTGTCTTGCCTAAAAATGTAAAATTATATAGTAAACAAAGCAGAGAAGTCGCTAATGTAAATTCAGGAAATGAAGACATGACGCTTTTCGTGGGAAAGGCTTAATATATATTTGCTGCTTGTGCATTTTTAATAGGCTAATTTATGTAATAAAGAACTTCGGAAGGATTATGAATAGATCATTTTTACTATACTTCTGTTCAAAAATTCTCACCAAATTTGTTACCTCAAGAACTATTTATTACTCGAAAATAACTATCTATATCTCTTTAGTTATTTAAGACTCTATAATAATCAAATAGTTCTTTTATTCATACTCTCAAATGATGAAAACAAAAGTTACACTTAAGTCTCTAAAAAAGAACAACATCATAGTATGTTGCCATTCTCTGAAACATAAACTTTTACAAAACATAGATAATAATAATATGAATAGATAATGAATAAAAAAAACCTATAGAGTAAAGAAACGATTACATCTGCTTGAAGCTCGTGCAATATTACTCAGAAGCTGCAGTTACAAAAAAATATAAGCAAAAATATTAGAGTCAAAATATTGTTCATCCTCCCACCTTGCAATATGAAATTCGGGATTGAGTATTGCAAGATATTAAAAAATTAAACATTATTCTCACAAGTCCAATCGATGAGGAACTCTAATTGTCCTTTCTGATTTGGCTATCGTAGGCGATTTTAAATGAGTATGAATTATTCTATTTGTTTCTACAGGTACATCATCAATTGGAGTTTGCTCTACCGAAATATTTTCGCATGGTTGACTTCCGCTGAATTTCGATGGAAGTTCCTCGGCAGTCGATAATTCCAAAGGATAGAGATTTTGTACAGCTCTTATGACTTCTCCATTTTGCACTTCTTATAAGAGGATGATCACTTGGCAAAATAGCAGGAGTTCTGAACTCAGATGTATCTTCTCTTTGAAATATCGCTGTTTTAGTTCTGATGATCCCACAATCAATGAATGGATTAAGACTTAAAATCCGTTTATCTTCTATTCCATTAAAGGACTCATTTTGTATTAAACGAATCAAGATATTCTCTGCTTCATTTAACTCAGATACAGTAAGTTCATCCTTTTTTCTTGTTTTGATGTTTACAGTTGTAAACAAAACGACACATCCACGCTACCAGTCTGATTGTCTTACGATAACTTGAGAATCTAGTAGCAAACTATTTCACTAGCATTAAGATTTATTAAGGACGAAATAATCCTTTTCTTTTTCTCAAGAGCTATTTCTTCTTCATCAGCACTAAAATCTTCTTTTGGCCATTTTTCTGGTGATAAATATAGCCATTTAGGACCTTCCCACCATCTAGATTTAATTAAATAAGAAGCAGAGCATCCTCTACTGGGCAAATCAGCAGGATTCAGTGATCCTGGTACGTGCCTCCAAGGATTCAATAGAAGTCAGTCGCTTTATTTCCTTAATTCTGTTGTGAACAAATACGTCCCATACTTCATTTCTCTGTATCCAAGCTAGCACAGTAGACGAATCTGTCCAAAAATAAATATCATCAGCTTGAAATTCAGGTATTATGCTGGATGCTAAACGTGCACATATTGTAGCTCCAAGAAGTTCCAATCGAGCTATTGTTTTGTCTTTTCCTTCCGCTGGGTGCAACTCTCGCTTTAGCTTGCACCAAATGAACTTGAACCGAATCTCTTGTTTGTACTCGAACAAAAGCCACAGCTGAATATGCAAGTTTACTCGCATCACTGAAGAAATGAAGTGAGATATTTTCAATCTCACGATCACAGTTTAACCATCTTGGTATTCTCATTCTTTCCAGACACTGCAAATCATTCAACCATTTACAAAATTGTGATTTTGAATTTGAATCAACTTCTTGGTCCCAAGATAACTTAACTTCCCATAGGTGCTGAAGTAAAAGTTTCGGCACAAGAGTTACGAGGCAAGCTATTCCTAAAGGGTCGAATATTTTGTGTGTAGTAGCTAAAATCTCTCTTTTAGACAAAATTTCTGGTAGATTGTAGGTGATGTTAGTAATATTAAGGCAAAGGTAATCTCCACATCGTTCCCAAATCATTCCTAATACATTTGTGGTACTAGAGGAATTATCTGTTGGGTCACTATATTCCCAACCACGTAATTCTAGCTTTCTTGTAGCTAAAGTATCTGAAGCAACTTGTATGAATTGTTGCAATTCTAAATCATTTTTCACACTCGCTAAACAATTATCTACATAAAAGCTCTTCTTCAATTGCTCAATAATATCCACTTTATACTTTGGGTTTCCATTTAGTTGTTTCAAAGTGGATTCTAGAAGATGGTGAATTACAGAAACTAGCAAGAAAGGGCTGCTTGTAACTCCAAATACTACCCTACAATGCCTGTAATACTTCAGTTTTCCATCAGTTCTATACCATAAGAATCTTAGATAGTCTTTATCCTTAGGGTTGAGACTTATTTGTAAGAATGCTTTTCGTATATCTGCAGAAACTCCTATTCTGTTCATTCGGAATCTATGAAGAATTGAAGGAATCAGTTCGATAAGGTTCTGACCTTTTTCTAGACAATCATTGAGACTAGGGGATCCTTTTTGTTTGGCCGAGGCATCAAACACTGGCCTGATTCGTGTAGTACTGTTTTCTTTTACTACGTGTCGATGTGGTAGATAATGGCATGTTACATCAATTTCGCTTTTTGGTACTTCTTCTATGATGCCTTCTTGTTCCCATTCACTAAAAACTTCTCCATAAGCATCATAAAGTTTCTCAGCTTTTAGTCGTTTTACTGTAGAAGCTAATCTCTTTACAGCTAAGTCATAGTTATCTTTTAACGGTAGATGGTTATCAAGCCATGGCAAGCTGACTTGAAAACGTCCCTCTTCGTTCACCTTTACAGTAGACAAGAAATGATCTCTTGCCTCTTCTTGAAGTTCCAGTTTATTTTTCTTCTCTGAGGGATCTAGAATTCCAAGTGAATCTAGAGACCATAGATCGGATATCAATATTTCCTTATTCAACATGGATGTGACGAGCAGTGCGGAATTGTCCGAGATCTCACGCATACCATTTTTCCCGAAAAGAGTCCAACCAAGTTTTGTTTCTATAGCAGCAAGGCCTGAAGTAAGCAATTTAAATCCTCCGGTCATCAACTTGCCTGCAATGTCAGCGCCAATAAGTATTTCTATTGGTCCATTACTATCGTCGCATACGGATATATTGTTCTCTTTAAGCTCTTGAATCCACTCGCCATTAGCAACTGGTGGTATATACTTCCACAAATAATATCTTGGCTAAGAGCTTTGAAGTTACAATGATAAGTTCCATCCGTTTTAGACAAGAACACTGTAAAAACATCGTGGTTTATGACATCAGTACATACCCGCCAAATAATGAATGGCTCAATCTTTCTTTAGATGTACTCTCAAATTTCATTTCATCTGCAGTGCTTTTTAAAATATGAGATCTCTGTGAAGCTGAATCGATAATAGCACGGGCCTGGCGCTTTCTATCCCGCCCTTTCAATGTAACCGTTAAAGTTTGCAAAAACACATTTGTTGTTCTCGCCAAATTGGCGAGGGCTTCATCTCGTTCAGGTACTGCATCCGTATTTTCATCCTTATTCATGCTAACAGGAACTAGACATTTTGATTCAGCTTGGATATTTTTACATAAAAGTATGTGGTGTTTCTTCCCACAAATCACACACGATGTTCGTCTTTTACATTTAGCTATTACATGTTTTCTGTCTAAACATAAAAAGCAACTGCGACTATTTAGAACTGCTTTTTGCCTTTCCTCAACGTCATCTTTCTTGCTTTAAACGCAATCACCAGATGCATGATTTCGCAGCACAAAAAATACATCCAGTTGAATTTTGTTCAGATGTTGCTATTAGAGTAGAAGCAGAAGGTGTGTTTTGGAAAATTCTCCACGGTTTTTGAAACCAAAGTGTTTAGCATTCCCAGGCTTAGGTGTCTGATATTTAGTAAAGCACTGAGTAGCTATAGATACTCTCTCTTCACCTTCAATTTCATCGAGGAAAAATGAAAGCAAACCATCTAAATCCATGCAATGTGTTGACGCATTTTTCTCTTTTTGCTCACTACTTTCAGATTCTCTCTGACTGCGATTAATAACTCGGAATCTTTACCATGCTCTTAATGTATCATCCGGCAATGACGATTCGACTAGAGCAGCGGTTCCCAACCGCTGTTCCGCGGCACACCAGTGTGCCGTCTGAAGCACCGTGGTGTGCCGCCGGGTGTGGGTGTCACGGTGCTGTTCGCCCGCTATAACTCCTCCCGTCACTCCCCCCTCCAGTGTTATAGGTGGTCACGGTGCTGTGCAGTGCTATAACTCCTTCCTCTGCCAATCTTGACAAGTGTCCGCCGTGTCCCCGCCCCCATGAGACGCAGGCAGACGCCTCACACAGTGTCAGAGAGACAACGGCTGCTGTGAGGAGAGAGACACTGATACTGCAGTGATGGACAAGTTTTTGAAAAGGAAAGAACTGGACTCTGAACAAAATCTGGAGCCAGATGAGAGCCCGAGTATGAGTGGGGGTCAAAAGAAAGCAAAGATGGTTAAATTCTCTGGCGCAAGGCAATATAGCGAAAGCTATATTTCAGTTGGATTTACTTTCACTGGAGATGAACACAAACCAACTCCACTGTGCGTGGGTGTGTGGTGAAAAGCTAGCTAACAGTGCTATGGTCCCAAGCAAACTTAAACGCCATCTCCAAACGAAACACCCTTTGCTTCAAAACAAGAATGTGGACTATTTTGTTCGCCTGCGTGACAACATGGAGAAAAACAGGCAACTTTATGAGAAAAAACAACAAAGGTAAATGAAAGAGCTCTTAAAGCTAGCTATCAAGTTGCTGAACTTATAGCCAAGACAAAAAGTCGCACACTGTGACAGAGACATTAATACTTCCTGCCTGCAAAGCTATTGTAGAGGAGATGCTCGGACCTGAAGCAGCAAAGGAAATAGCCAAAGTCCCTCTCTCAAACAAACAATTTCCAGACGTATTAATGACATGTCTGCAGACATCGAAAGTGTGGTTTTGGAAAAGATCCGTATCAGTGAGAAATTTGCATTGCAACTTGACGAGTCTACTGATATCAGTGTACATGCTCAACTCTTAGCTAATGTGCGTTTTGTTGATGGTGATGCAATTAGAGAAAACTTCTTTTTTTGCAAGGTATTGCCAGAAAAAAACGACAAGAGAGAAAATTTTCGGGTCACATCAGAATACCTTGAACAAGGAGGACTTAAGTGGGAAAACTGCACAAGTGTCTGCACCGATGGAGCGGCAGCCATGGTCGGGCGCACCCAAGGCTTTGTAAGCAGAGTGAAGGAAAGAAATCCAGATGTGATTATTACGCATTTTTTTTTACACCGCGAGGCCCTCGTAGCCAAGACTTTACCATCAGCCTTAGTTCATGTGTTGGATGATGTTGTGCGCATGGTAAACATTGTAAAGTCACGACCCATGAAAAGTCGCATATTTGCAAGTTTGTGTGAGGAGATGGGAGCAAAGCATAAAACCTTGCTGTTTCATACGGAGGTCCGGTGGTTATCGCGTGGCAAGGTCTTGGTTCGTGTGTATGAGCTGCGGGAGGAACTTAAAGTGTTTCTGACAAATGAGGGGTCAGATTACGCAAAGCAGCTTGCAAGTGATGAGTGGTGTGCAAGGCTGGCATACCTGGCAGATATATTTCATCATCTGAATGAATTGAACACCCGAATGCAAGGCCGAAATATAAACCTGCTTACAAGTACAGATAAAATAAATGGATTCCGTTCAAAGGTGCAACTCTGGCATCAACACGTGGAAAGTGGCAATCTTGAAATGTTCACACTCACCATGCAATGGCAAGGTGTTCACACTGCTGCACTGTGTGAGATAATAGTTAGGCATTTAAAAACTCTTGAGGAGAAGTTGTCATTTTATTTCTCTTCAGTCTCCACTGAATGCCTTGACTGGGTTAGGGACCCTTATAGCTCAGCATCAGTTGTTGGAAAGGAAATGACTTTACAGGAGCAGGAGGAACTAATTGAACTGAGACAAAATCGTGGTTGCAAGCTAAGATTTGCTGATCTACCTTTGGACAGTTTTTGGTTGGTTGGAACTGCCAAGGAGTTTCCCCTTCTGGCAAACAAAGCTATTTTGACATTGCTCCCTTTTTCCACTACATATCTGTGTGAGATTAGCTTTTCAAGCATGATTGCTATGAAAACCAAATACAGAGAGAGCGACTGAGAACTGTTGACGAAGAGCTACGTGTGTGTCTTTCTTCGATTCCAGCCAGAATATCAGCTTTGTGTTCAGACAAACAGGCCCAGGTTTCGCACTGAAAGTATTTTATAATTTTTCACTATTCTGTTTACTTAATATTTCATAATAAAATAATTATAAAATACTTTCTTTGTGCTTATTTGATTCCTATTCAAGAGAATTACTTTATTATAGTCAATATAGGCACAGAGTTAATTTTTTAACATTTTCTAATGGTGGTCTGCCTCGTGATTTTTTTCCCTGCGACAAATGTGCCTTGGCCAAAAAAGGTTGGGAAATGCTGGACTAGAGGATATAACATCGCCGCATATTTATCTCTAGCAACCCAGAACTTCTAACGCTCTTAGTTTCGATTCTAAGTTATCATAGAGTTTTCGTAATGAAAATTTCTGCTGAGAGTTTTTTAATAATACTAACGAAAGTAGATCTCTAACATAGACTTCTATAAGAAGGTCTTCTTTTCCCAAAACGCGACTGCACAGTTGTTCTAAAGCTTTACTATAACTTTCGCCAACCGGGCGGAAAGCTTTTGATTAACTCTTCAGCAGATGACCCTTTTTCCATAGACTGCAATAAATATGCAAGATTTATCATGATCGTCTAAATTGGGATCATTATCGATCTTTTTAAACTGGCCCCAAAATTCCTAACGAAGCTTTTAATATTCCCATCAAAAATCGGAAGTTTAAGCTTAGGATAACGTATAGTAGTAGCATTTTGAGTTAAGCTTTCATTAACAACAGAACCGTTTTTCTTTTCAGCTAGAAACGAAACTAATTTGCTTTCTACCATTCTCCACTTATCAATATAGCATTCTGACTCATCAAACTCATTATTTATCACAGTTTCATCTTTTTCAATTTTAATCAATTCTTCTCTATAAGTCTGTTCTATTTCAATCATAGGTTTCGCTTTGCCCTCAACTAATTTAAGTTTCGAAATTTTTCCGTCTAAAGACGGAATTTTTATTCTTCTCAAAATCATTTAAAGCTTTTGTAAACAATCTCCTAAATTGAGATCGTTTGCACTTCAAAACATCCATTATAAATAAACGAAAGAATTCTACTTGCAGATAACAATCCTGTCGCCGACGCCAAATGTTCAAAAATCTCACCAAATTTGTTACCTCAAGAAGTATCTATTACTCGAAAATAACTATCTATATCTCTTTAGTTATTTAAGACTCTACAATAATCAAATAGTTCTTTTATTCATACTCTCAAATGATGAAAACAAAAGTTACACTTAACTCTCTAAAAAAGAACAACATCATAGTATGTTACCATTCTCTGAAACATAAACTTTTACAAAACATAGATAATAATAATATGAATAGATAATGAATAAAAAAGCCTATAAAGAAAACCATTACATCTGCTTGAAGTTTGTGCAATATTACTCAGAAGCTGCATTTAGAAAAATATAAACAAAAATATTAGAGTCAAAATATTGTTCAACTTCTGTATTTTCTCATCAAAATTAAACATTTCGCTGTCGAAATCTCAATAGAGCTCTTTTTAAAATTGTTACAGCTTTTTAACTTATCAAAATTACCCTGTTTTTCACACACTGCTTTAGATTTTTATTAGTTTAATTTATATAATTTAAACGCAAATCAAGGAAGAAAAATGAATATTATAGAAAAATATTAAATGTGTCAGAAAATGTAGCAAACTCGACTTTGATCTGGCTTTTTACCAAATTATTTTTCTTCTGAAGAAGAATGACCTGCTTCTAATGGTGCTCGAAATCGATAGTTTTATTTAAAAGCTAAACTTAACTAAGACTTCTTTTCTACCTTGTGTAGAACTTTCTTTTTTGGTCACAACGCCTAAAGGAAATATATTTTGTTTTTTATAATGGTGGGCCACCGAAGAGATCCTAGATATTCCATATGACAGAAGTTATTAATTCAAGTTTTCTTACGAAACAAACAACATTTTTATTAACATATACAAAGGAATTTAAATGATGAGAGATTAATTACAATTACGAACACCTGCTCTGTCTCTATTTTTGAATCACAAACGTTCCTTTCTCTCTTATGTTGCCATTCCGAAAACACAACTTTTCTTTTATTCATGGCTGCCGATCCTTACTCCTTAATTTTAAATTTTAGTGTTATTAAATTAGGCGTTTAGCGAGGCAATTTTAATAATTTAAACCGAAACATTTAACCAACATTCATGGACTGTAGGTACATATACATTTTTACCTCTAAAAAGAATTAAATGGAATTGTCTGTTTTACATGTTGTCTGTTTTCTTAATTTTGAACTCGTGAAGTCTCTTAAGATAAAAAATCATTGTTCTGTAGTAGCTCAGCTCCAGAAAAAAGGCAAATTTTATATCGCGGTAAAAAGTTAGTCAATATCTGGAATGATGCTCTTAAAGAGTTTGCACCAGTCACAGCAAAATATAAGCGTAAACACAGTGAAAAGGATTAATGCCCCTACACTAGTACATTCTGAGTTAGGTTATCAAGGGCCACATGATTTCATTCAGAAAGGAGTTATTACAGGATGTTTTAGAGTAGATGCCCCCCTATTACATGTTTCGTAATTTTATTGTTTTAAATATGAGTACACTCGAACAGTGAAAGAAATGTAGGAATTTTCTGAAGATGAACCATTTGGCCTCAAATATCTATTATCGCATTCATTCGTCAGTTGTCGATCCATATTGAAAAGAACATCATCGGGGCTTAATTTCTAAAACTAGAAGTGCCGGAACCCTATGGAAGAAAGTCAAGAAAGAGAAACAAAAACAAATAAATAAAAAAAAATTAAAGCTTTCAGATTTTATATTACGCTCAAAGGGGCGTTTTATTAACGCTTTATATGTTATGTTTATTTATTAAATATCATGTTCTTTGCACTTAAACCATGAAATTCAATTCAACAACAATATCACAAAATATTTAAAAAGAGCATATCTTTACAATTTCCGATACAGAGTCTCGCGTGTTGGAAATAAAATTTTTTTTTAAATTTATTATTATTATTATTTTTTATTATTTTTATTTATTTATTTATTTTTTCCCCCGTACAATATTACCATTGCCGGCTTTGAAATCGGTGAGTTTGTTAATAAAAAATTCATTAAGGTTTTACAAAATATGAAATAGACAATAAAACAAATTCCAAATTTGGCCTTCCAGATGCCCATATTCGAGTGGAGGACTACGTTACTCAAAATTTGGTACCGTTGTTTTCTCACAATGCGAGAAACATACATAGATTCATGCAGATTCTTCATTGTTTAATTTCTTTAAATATATTTCCGATTTGTGTAACATTGGCTTTTTTTCTTCCACTAGAAATCTTTATCCAATGCAGAGATATTAGATACAAGATATAAAAGAACACAGATAACAAAAAAGTTGGGCACATCTCTGCCTCAGATTTATATTCTCAAAGGAAGGATATTGTTGTCAAAAGGAGTCGAGCTCTCTGAATCAGAACTCCTTGTAAGTCGCGGATGAAATGTTAACGGTTTTGGAAAATAAAGTAGCATACAACATTTCATTATGATTAATGTTGTAGAGATATTATGTTATTTCAAAACAAGAGTCATGGAAAATGAGGAATGCCCTCGCCAGGACTCGAACCACGAACCTCTCGAATACGCGTCGAGCATACTGACCATTACACCACGAAGACACCAAGAAGGCGGGAGAAATACCTTATAGACCCTCCCTTTTAAAGGCCGACTGAGGTTTAGAGGATCCAGTTGCCAAATACTGGTGGTGAAGAATCATCATTCACCACCTTTTAGTTCGAGCACCACTGTAAAGATATTAGGTTATTTTGAAGCAGGAGTCATGAAAAATTAGCAATACTCTCGCCAGGATCGAACCATGGACCTCTCGAATACGCGTCGAGCGTGCTGACCGCTACACCACGAAGGCATGCTAAGGCGGGAGACATACCTTATAATCTTATAAACTAAAATCAAAGAAAAAAAATCGCAAAAATAAACCCTAAAACTAAAAAAACTTTAATTTTGCATATTAAATATGTTGAATATTTCAACATAATTAGATAGAACTGAAGCAAACGGGGTCAAAGAAACATAAAGCTATGTTAACAAATAAAACAAGAGAAAACATTTAGTACTAAGTTCACAGATAGAAACGGATAATGAATTAAGCAATAATTCACCAAGAACAAGAAATGTAAACCAAAAACTCATTTTAATGCTTTTAACTTTCTGAGCACATTTTCCTGAGAAATACTATTTTTTAAATGAAATAAAATCAAAATACTTAAAATTGTTTTCAGCTATGAATAAATTACATTCAGTCTAAAGCATGCTTTATCAAATCACATTTCTTAATATCAGATTTCCCTAACATAAAAATTCATCTAGTTAGTTCATATACCTTAATTTTAAGTATTAAGTATCTCATATTTACTGAGCTATCATTTAAATGCGAGACACTGTTTACCTTGTCATAGTATAAGACTACATTTCTCAGTTATTTTTATTAAGCTAATATAGGTATTTTTTATTAGCTAATAGAGGTTCTGCGGTGCTATATCTGCGAAAACACAAGCTACATATTATATTGGAATTATTGGATGTATAATATTTATTATAACTATTTTGAAATAATACTTCTTCCAGTCTAAATATAGAGAAAGAATTGAAATTTGTCTCATTTTTAGGTTAATGGGTTTTGTATGGAATAATGTTTATTATTTATTTATTTATTAAGTTACAATTTAATCAATCTTCTTTACACTTAAATCAGTAATTGAATCAGAAAATAATCAAAAGCGTGTGATAAGATATTTGCAAAAGCATTTATGTAGCCACTGAATTAGCAAAGTCTGCTATTATCTCAAATGTTCATAACGTGTTCTTTGCAGTGCTTGCATAGAAAACATCTTTTTTTTATCTACGTCAGGGAATCTTTTCTTTTTCCAGTGCACAAAGGAATAGTTTTTCAAGTAAAAGCTA